CGACTCCGTCTGTGTGGGGAATCACTCTACCCTCGTGCCATCAGATAACTGTCACAGTGACAATGACGCCGAAAGCCCGGGGTCAATGTCCCACATGTTTGTGATGTGTGAAGCTCATTTCTGGTGTCCCACGCCATGTTATATTGCTGGAATATTGCTAAAAGCGGTGTAAAAGCATACTCACTCACTTCTCATCATGGCGTACGTTTTCGATCATGTCCACGTCTCAAACGGAAGTTCTCGACTGATTATCAGTTCTCTACAGACCTCTACAATCACAGAGACTTCAGCCGGCAGTACTTGCTACCATAGAAAGTATATATATAACGTAAACGAGGGAAACGCTCGTATAATCTTCACCGCTGTTTTGCTTTTTCCGCGCAAGGGAGCCTATCTGGGTTATTCTCTGGTATTTACATTTTATATTTAAATAATTCAAAATTTGTTACAAAGGTAAATGAAACGTTTCCATAATGATATATTCAATATATCATTTTCTAGGCTGGGTGGTCCGGTGTTCAGGAGCATATTTTAAAATTAATTAATTGTGATTTGTGTGTGATGTATTCAAATGAACGGTTTTGTTAACCTAGGCAAGATCATTTTTGGATTGGACTGATTGAAGGGACATCAGGTTATCGGAGGGACAAAGGCGAACCAGCACTTTCTGGGGTCCTTCAGCATCAGCAGTAGCCAAGGCACGGACTTGTTTTACACCTGTGTACATAAAAACGTTTTTCAAAATAGTCCATGTTTATAATTGAAACTATTTCATGGGCATATTGAAGCTTAATACTATCTATGCATATGGGATAGAAAGACGTAATATAGGCTACCCGCAGTCGCATCTTGAAATGGTTTTCCTGAGTGACCATTCACGATGTTTACTTTCATGACGCCCAATCCCTGTTTTGGGCTCCGCTTCACCGCCACAATGGGGTTTAGGAGACTTGTATGGATTTTTTCTTGCATCTGAGGTATTTTTGGTGAAGGTACATGCCGGGGATATTTACCGTTCACTTCATACTGATGTTAGTCAGCTGTTTTTATTTCTTTTAAAACAGTTGAACCAGAGACCTCTTCTTTAAAATTCAGAAACAGCGACAAAAAGCCTAGTATCAACTGCAACTTGTACACAACCCACAAGTACTACAACTACTACTACTACTACTACTGCTAAAACATAAACAACTACAACTACACCCACTATAACACCACTTACTACTTCTACTACTAATACTACTACCACAACACCAACGTATACAGTTACATCTATTGCTTCTACTTCTACTACTACTACTGACCCGTGAAGATACGGGGTAGAATAGGTCTTAAGCAATCCATGCTTGCCGCAAGAGACGACTACGCTTGTTGTAAGAGGCGACTAACGGGATCGGGTGATCAGGCTCGCTGACTCGGTTGATGCGTGTCATCGTATTCCAAATGCGTGGATCGATGCTCATGATATCAATCACTGGATTGTCTGGTCCAGACTCGATTGTTTACAGACCGACGTCATATAGCTGGAATAGTGCTGAGTGCGGCGTTAAACAACAAACAAAATCAACTTTGATACATCGGTCTGCAACCATCTGATAACCTTTAATAGCGATTTGGCAACACTGTTAATACTGTACCACTTCCCTTCTATCTATAAAACGTTGTCGCCAACACCTGTCTGATCCAAGGAGTCCATGTCGTATATATATACACCAGTCCACGTCGACCAGTGACAAAAGTGCCGGTTCCGGATATCTAATATATTCACCAGTGAAAAAAGTGCCAGTTCCGGATGCCTTATATATTCACCAGTGAAAAAAGTGCCGGTTCCGCATGTCTAATATATTCACCAGTGAAAAAAGTGCCGGTTCCGCATGTCTAATATATTCACCAGTGAATATATAATAACCGGATATATAATTTACATATTTATGTCATCGTGGCATGGCATACATGAGTTTATTACTTGCCCGTGAAGAGATCACCCGTTTAATAAACATACAGCTGTATTACACATTGTGTAATACCAAAACGCGTGCAGGTGTACTCTCGGAACACGTTTCACGAACAAATATTGAAAGCTCTCAACATCTCTTGGCTTATTCAAAGACATTGCGTGTGGAGTTGATAGATCACTGAGAGGAGCTTATGCACACTCGATGACCCCAGCAACCTTGTTGCTAGGGTGACGTCACATGGCATTGTTTCGCCGATGGGTCTTGCAACAAAATTCCACAAATTACGTCATCGGGTATTGTGACGTTATTGTAAAGTTTGAGGTACAAGGCCCGTTCCACAAGGCGATCGTATTGTAGCGCAACGACAGTCGTTAGTCTAAGTTAAAGTATGTGAGTTGCGATAGTCTTAGCCCTACGATAATTTTGTGAATTCTAAAGGTGGACCGTTGTATGGTATTAAATTCATACCTTTCAACTTTTGACGTGTTTGAAGTATTATTCTGTTAAACTCAATTGGACTATGCCGTGGATCGTGTAGGTGTCAGCTAGCCTATTTATACTCAACAGTATAATTCTAAAAACGTTGTAAATGGCAAGTAATAAATAAAATACTAAACTCGCTCCCGTGTAAAACCAATTTTATGAAACGAGTGAATAGTTCTGGTATCTGACGAGCGAAAGCGAGTCATATACAACAACTATTCACGAGTTTCATAAAATTGGTATTACACGGGAGCTCGTTTAGTATTCTATATTTAAGTCATAGGCGTAGGGATAAATGCTTTAGTGCTAAAAATAAATCTTTATCAATCATACGATAAAAACACAAACTGTTCTTCAACAAGATCCCGGACTCCAAAGACAGTGTTGCCCTGAGTACATTACAGTAACATGTGGCCATCGAGGTTTATATGTTGATGTCTTGCCTGAAGAACCTTTTTCATACATCAAGTATTTCTACTTTGTTACTCATAATACCAGGAAATATATAGAAATGACTTTCACGGTTCAGCGAAACAAGAAGAAACTTTAACTGGACTCAAAGTTGGAAGTGAGCAAGTCAGCCAATAATTATCTCGCTTTGGGTTCCCTTTTGTCAGAGAACAATCCGCCGGCTGTGTAGAGACGGGAACAAGAATTACATTGTCAGGTTCAAAAGCAAATGCCCTAGCACTGACCAAGACCAGTTATAGCGATGTCTTCTCCGTGTATGTCATTTAGGAATAGACGAAAACCCGAAAAGGTACCAATGCGGTATTAATACATTTTATGTCACGTAACGTAATAGCTCTGTGGTAAATTGCGGACTTGCGGTCTTTCGTCTAAAGATTATGACTCATAACGTTTATTTATTTATCATCAAATATTGTAGTCTGGAGGTAGTGGTGGTTGTTCCTGGTTACATGAAAGGCGTCCACGCTGGCTACGTTCCGTGTGTGTAGGCATTGTTACAATGAACGTATGAGTATTTGTTACATATTTGACAATCCCAACTTCGTGAAGGTAGAAGTGTACCAATCTGCCTCAAGGAAATAACCGGGTGGTTGATACGCTGGTGAACTGCATCAGGCTAAACCTTTGTGTCTGTATTTCTTACACTATTCAACATTACAACATTAATATCCTGAGTAAAACTTTCAAGAAGTTTTATGGTCAACCCGTTGAGGACAATTTCAAATTTGACGCATCAGTGACAAAAATGATGTACCATATGTTCCCGTGCTTTTTCAGGTGAACAATTGACTTGCCTTTGCTGGTGTTTGCGACGGGTGCCACCGATGGGGCAGGATACGCTCTTCTTTTCGCGAACACTTGGTATCATCACTATTTGATAGTGATTTATATTGTAAACACATTCTCGTAATATAGTCGTAAACTTACGGTCGATTCAGCTTTTGGCAGAGATTTCTATTGAATATGGAAAGGATTTTGTCGCTTATATTTCAAATTATCTCCCAAGGATTTCCAAGTTTTTAAAGATAAGACATGATGACATTATACATGTAAATATGTTCTTCAACATCTGCACTATGACAGGAAATCGTGAAAGTTGTGAAAGATAAGCCATGATGACATTATACATGTAAATATGTTCTTCAACATCTGCACTATGACAGGAAATCGGTCACTAGTCAGGTAAGGTGAAAAGGGGTGTAACGTCGCGTTCAAGACATCTTCCCGAGGCAAGAGAGTTAACTCCAGTTTCCACCCTTGCCGAACTAAGCTGTAATTCCTGGGCTCGATCGTAGCGCCATCAGTGGCTATTACGAGTTATGTCCCTTCTTTGCCTCTCCTCTGAACCAATCTCTCGTATCACTTGCATTTGCTTCAAACAAAATGGCGGCGCCCGGTCGAGACGATCTGATCGATAATCAAGATCTGTATTGTGATAAAACGGGTCTTACATCGCGAAGTGCATCAAATCACGTGAGCACCTTGATTAAAAACATGGAAAAATTTGGAAAATGTCTGTTGACACCGAGTTGGAGGTGCACATACTTTGTAAATACTGCAATCGACCGAAATCTGCATGACAGTTTACGAACCGGATTTCGATTTGGTTGCGTGATTGTGATAGGACTATATGCATAGACTCGTTAGTCCAGCCAAAATGTAACTCCATAATACCAGCCTAGTTCGGCAAGGGTGGAAACTGGACTTTTATAGTCAGTTAACTCCCTTGCCTCGAGAAGATGCGTTCAAGATTATTGCACTTATACAGCGACGTGCATGTGAACTAGATATCTGTGTGCAAACGAACTCAAAGGGACCACTAATTTTAGTTCGTAATAACCGTAGTTCGTTATAAGCATACATACAGCATTAAAACAACAAATGGCCGGGAGTGATAAATAGGTTCGTCATAAGCGTGTTCGTTATAAACGTAGTACCTGCAAAAACAGAAGCAGCCCCTTCCCCGCCACGTCTGAAACGCCCCGGCCGCAAACAAACAACTTATATTTAAGATCAAATTTGCATAGTTATGTTTTCTATGGCCTGCGCGTTTCTGTCTATAAGAAAAAAAATTCGGACATCCACTCGAAAAGTCCTTTTTTTTATTTTAAAACGTAATGTGTAATAAATTCTAAATAAAAATGAAAAAACACTTTCCAAAATCACATGACATAAAGACAAAAATACTCATTTAATGATGCGCCCTGATTATGTGTTCATTGTGTGTGTGTATACATATGATACACAGGGCCAGCACAATGATATCTTATTCAATAACTCTCATGGGACCTGACAAAGACAAACATTACAAAAAGACAAATGAACGCGATCTGTTTACCCCATATCATAGAACATAGAAAAATAAACTTCATCAGAACCAGATCCCGCACCTTGAGGTATAGCTTAATAAATAGTGGATATTTGTATGCGGAATACATCCCTTGAAGCTTCCACAAACACAATCATTATTATTATTATAATGATTATGAAATGCTGATTAAACAGGGTTGTACCGTTCTCGGTACAACCTTCCGGATTAACAAGTGTCTGGATTAACGAAACATGTGTTTAATTGAGTAGTCAATGCCCGGAAATTCCATTTTGAACCGACGGCCTTCGTCAGAAGTTTTATCTTCCGAGCATCGAATACGCAATAAAACCAGCAAATCTGAAATCACATACTCTTAAAGGACATTGTAAAACACAAAGGTTATCAGTCATTGTCTGAAGCACTCTCTGTCGACATGAACTCACATCGTCAGACAGACATGATGACGTCATGATACTCAAAGGATATTTCATGTCTCGAGTGAAATTACGTGTTCATCGAGTGACGGTGGAAAGGATATGAGAGAAACAGGTTTTCACGAGACACATGGAATATGCTATTTATTATATACATGTACTTTTTGTGTAGTAGAAAATTACTATTATTCATTTCAAATGTAAAACCTTGAAACATAAATTCTCCCTACCTAACACGCAGGGACATTTCACCACCGCTTGTAATTGCGAGTTAATAAGTAGTTCCGAGTTTGTAAAATCTTGAAAATATAAACAAACGTTATAAAAAATATTTGAGGTTACTACCATTCTTTAGCATACATTTGGATATGATTATATACAAAGTGAATTTTACAAAAATAGTTTTAAAAAGCTACGAGACCGCTGTTGGATGTAAAGGAATACACACTGGTCAAGTAACAAAAATTGTGAAATGAACAGTTTATAACGAAACATTTTCAAGAAAATAGCAAAGAGTACGAAGCGTCACTAACTCCAACAATAACTATCTGTCACTATGTTGCCTTGTCAATGTAAAACTAACGTAAAAAGTCAACAGTTTGTGTACTGGCTGGACAGATACAGGAAGACAATTTACGGGGAGGTAGCTCTTGAATGACAATTGTTCCGTCCAAGTGTTATGTTCACTGCAATGAAAATATCATTTTTCTCAGCTTAAGAAGACTCAGTCTTTCACACTGAAGTATATAATAAAATGGGTGACGTCACTTGTTTCTGTGATAACAATATTCGCCTGGGGTCCGTTCCACAAAGCGATCGGAGCGCTAAGATCATCGTAACTCCCATACTTTAGTATAGACTTACGACTGCCATAGCGCTACGACCGCTTTGTGTAACGGGGCCCAGGGTCCCGTTCCACAAAACGATCTTAGTGCTACGATCGCCGTCAGTCTATGTAAAGTTATAGATCTTACGACAGTCGAAGCGCTAAGGTTGTTTTGTACAACGAGTGAGTGTGTGAGTGAGTACGGTTTTACGCCGCTTTTAGCAATATTCCAGCAATATCACGGCGGGGGACACCAAAAATGGGCTTCACACATTGTATCCATGTCGGGAATCGAACCCGCGTCTTCGGCGTGACGAGCGAACGCTTTAACCACTAGGCTACCCGACCGCCCTGTTTTGTACAACGACGAAGTTATAGAAGTTACGATCGCCTTAGCGCTAAGATCGGTTTGTGGAACGGGGCCCTGGGTGCTATACGATCGTCGTAAGTCTATGTTAAGTATAGAAGTTACGATCGCCTTAGCGCTAAGATCGTTTTGTGGAACGGGGCCCTGGTTGTTTGTTGTTGTCGCCGCGGTGGGAAATATGCCAGCCAGATACAACGCCGGTTTGTAAATAATCGAATCTGGATCAGACAATCCAGCAACTAACATCATGAGCATTACAGAGCATGGACTCAATTCGGATCCGAAGACATATACGTCCAGTCACAACCAAATCGAAGTTCTTCTGATAAATATCGATCACACCTAATATTTCATTTACGTAGTATATCAATGTCGACAAGCCGAATGGCACATTCTTCAAGTTTGGGATTGAAGAAAGAAAATGGTGATTATCAAGAAAATTATTTATGCGCTGTGAATAGTTCAGATTTCCGAGCTTCGAATCCCATTAAATCACTGTGAATACACAATGCCTTTTAGAAAGTGGTCAAATGTAACAAATGATATATTTGGGATAACATTTTCTCGGTAAAGTACAGTTTTTGTACCCGGAGTCCCATGCATCCGGGATGGAAACACACTGCCAGAGTGAGGCACCTAATCGCCAGCACACAAAGTCAACGATCTAACCCACTCAGCCACTGAGGCTTCCATAAAAATGAAAGTCCGACAACTGGTAGTCTAGATCACGTACTTTGTGTACCCCTCTGACATGTGTAAATTGGCACGGCTCCAATGGCCGAAAGCTATGAACACACAAAATGAATGCATTTTAGAAAGTGGTCAAATGTAACAAATGTAACACTTTCTTAGTACAAACTACCGGTACTGTACATTTGGGGGTTGAGGTCTTCAACTGATCATATTGCAGCACACACTCCTATTCGTTTCACAGTGCTACAGATTATTGTCCCCTTGAGGTTATCATGGCGATGCCGGGTTTCCATACTAACACTGTTTCGTTAAGTACGCAACAATAAATCTTCCTTCCTAAATTCTATTCTAATTTTGATTTACTACTTTTCGTTTTACAACAGCGTCGAAGGCAACAGCAACACAGACATTTCAGTATCCACAGGAACAGAACGACGACACCAACAACACACGCAGCAACATCAAGGAGGAAATACTGGATGACGTTCAGCTCCCGGGACGCCGGACGCAGATGCTGCCCGCCGTGGTCGATGATGTGGTTGATCCAGTGGACAGCTCTCCTCATTGGATGTTGGTCACGTGATTTCATGATGGCCGACATCTTTTTCGAAGTTTCATAAAATCTGAAATATCAGTTAAAAGATATGTGACTACGTGATAAAGGTCGCTAGGGATTGTGAGGTGACTTTATTATGGCCGACATCTTTTTCAAAGTTTCATATAATCTGACATATCAGTTAAAATGTATGTGACTACATGATAAGGATCGCTAATGATTTTGAGGTACGACGGTACTTATTATCTTTAATATAATTTCAGAGAAAGAAGAGGCAGCTTATTGGATCATGTGGTTGGTAGTGTGTCATCGTACCCCGCCGGCAGGTCCCTATGCTCATTATATCCATCACTGGGTTGTCTGATCCAGTATTACTGTATTTACAGGCCGCCATCACATAACTGGAATATTTCGAGTTATACAAAACGCGCGCAAACACACACACACACACACACACACACACACACACACACACACACACACACACACACACACACACACACACACACACACACACACACACACACTTACCTCCCATCGCCAAGCACCTGCTGTACAGAGGACAAAAGGTTTGATTTTGTGATATTCGTGACATCAATTTTCACACCCATGCCCTTAGCAACGATCCTAGCAACGACGTCGAACTGGTCGCCGAATATCGGAATGTTCACCATGGGAACACCGTTGTATATTGCCTCCATAACTCCGCTGATGCCACCATGGTTCAAGAACAAGCGGACTTTAGGGTGACCTGACAGGAAACGGCATAAACGTATAACATGATGCTTAGAACTAATTCAGGTGTTCAAATACAATAAGAGGTTAAATAACCTCACTTGAGGTTCTCCATATAACACTTTATATAAGATAGCTGAGCAATAAATCGCAAAGAACAATGAAGAACGAAGTGTGGTTTATTTCACGATAAAACATTGTTCTATCGTGACGTTATTTCTGGAGATTCGAACATGCGTTCGCAACTTAATGACGTTGTATATTGGACGACGTTTTTTTTTGAGAGGCGAGTAGTGAGTTGCTGGGCAAAGCAGATAATGCGATGGGCGAATGATTGCTTCCCAAAGCGGGATAGATATGACAGGGAGAAAAGGTACAGCTAATGGACGAGATGATTGTGAGGATATGCGGGAAGTATCCATCTGCGCATAAAATGGATTTGTCCGACATTGCCGAGGTCGGATTCTATTGATGGAGTCATCATTATATAAATACGGGCAACTATATTTAAAGCTTGTACATTTTAACATCATCCTCAAAGAGGCTGTAAATAATGTCCATATCTCATATAAGTAATAAACGACTCGTGGTCGGACAATAAAACACTGCAGGGAGAATAAGCCATGAGGGGCTTCTCCCTGCAGTGTTTTATTCTGAGATAAACAACTCCCACTCGTTTATTTCTCAAATAACCAACATCCTTTGGAACTTGTCGTGCGGATGACCAGACGTAAGGGGCAAAACCCAGAACATGAAAGCTCTTAATCGAAAACTATGATCATATCCACTGTTACCATTTTCACATCTACAGAAGGAAAAGAGAAATACATACATACGACTTCTTTAACGATACCGTGGGGAATCCGGGGACGAATTGGCCCTGTGAACTGCGAGGGGAAGAGAGGTGTTCTAGGTGCCCCTTCATCATATGGGATTGGGGTCATTCACTCTCTCTAGACAAGCCTTTGCCTTAACTTGGCTGTACCCAAAGCGTGAGGTTAGGTGTTGCCTCGTGTTAGAACTTACCAAGTAGATCATTCTGTGGTATCTTCTTCATGATCCTCACGTTGTCCGACACTGTGGGGAAATTGTTCCCCCCGTAACGCCAGATAACGCGCTGTGGTATAGACTTAAAGGCGTCAACAAAGGCCTGAGCAGTTGCTGCTTCTAGATCCTTGACGGTGGTGCCGAGGCTGAAGACGATGACGCCAGCGTCTCCAGATCCTGCGACGAAACTCTCCAGATCCTAGCAGAAGGCAGGAAAACACACGTCATGACAGAGCTAGAATAGTGTCATCCTCGGTTATCCAGGGTATTATGATAACAATAACTGCCCTGGACCTATTCGTCGTCATAACTACGTTTCGAAACCGAATCCATTTCTCGTATCAATGACTAAGCACAGAAAGTCTCTAGCCCATGCGAGTTATTTGATTGGGTGGCTATTTTTAGAATCGTGCCATTCTAATCGGTATTAGAACTAAAGAAGGCCACGGCAAGGAATGAGTGTGGGTTATTTATCGTAAAAGAATGGGGATGTAATATACTGGATATTCGAGGATGGAATTAGAGATATTTATTACCGGTATCTGTTCGATTATTAACACTATTGCCTATTGACGCCAATTTGTTTGTGTCGTGGTGTGGTATTGAGCAGTAAATTTGCCCCGGGCATGGACGACCATGACCTTCCCTTCAGTCGTGGTCAGGCTTGCTGTCTTGGTTGATGTATGTAATCATATCCCAACTATGTAGATCGATGCTCATGACGATTATTTAAAGACTTCCGTAACATAGGTGTAATATTGCAGAGTGCGGCGTTAAAGTATGTTTTTTTTATGGTCTTGAAGACTAAAACATTTATAAACAGGCCCACCATGTTATAATAAATTATACCCGTGAGGACCCGGGTTAGAATTGGTCATCAGCAACCCATGCTTGTCGTAAGAGGCGATTAAAGGGATCAGGTGGTCAGGCTCGCTGACTTGGTTGATGCATGTCATCGTATCCCAATTGCGTGGATCGATGCTCATGATATCAATCACTGAATTGTGTGGTCAGGACTCGATTATTTACAGACCGCCGTCATATAGCAGAAATATTGCTGAGTACGGCGTAAAACAACAAACAAACATAATATAATTACCTTCGGCAGAGGCTTTGGATCCTTCGTGGTTAAACCGCCCACATACACAACGTTAGGGGTGAGAGGTCGCGGGAACTCCAGGGTGAAGTCAGTATTTGCCAACCACAACTCCGCGTCCGCCATGACGTCTTCATACGACAGATGCTGCACATCAGGTAAATAGGTCTTGACGTAACCATTCATGTTGGAAAAGTAGTACTTAAGTGCGAGCTGAGTGATGAAGTACATCCCAGTATTGGTCAACCGGTCCAGGAAGGACATCCTATCCGTTATCTGTAAAGGTGTGAAACCAACAGGTACATACGCCAACGGGGACGGTGTCTGTGACAGCCGGCCATGTTGAACGGCGTCAAATGCTCCGCATGCGAATACAATTAATGGGATATTTAGGGACTTTATCAAATGCATACCGTGAACAATAAAACCATCCACCACTGCCAGGTCGAATTTCTCTTTTGCTGCCGTGGCACGAAATCTGGGTACAGATTCGAAAAATTCACTGATCATTTTTTCAACAGCCGCTTGTCCGCGGGCCATCTTATCACTTTCATACTGACTCTTTCCTGCCAGAGTGTCCGCAAAAAAATCTTCCATCGCCTTTTCATAATCGGAATCGTCACTACCGTACGTCCACAGATCGAAATGGTCTGCTTTTTTCACCCATTGGCCTTTTGATGCAATAAATGTAATCTTGTGACCTTCTTTGCTCAGCTCTTGAGCAATGTGAGACATGACCCCAAAATGGCTGAAGGGGCCAGGGAACATGACAATGTTAGCTCCGTGCAGGCAGATCGGAGACAGGAGGATGAGGATGAGGCTAGTGCTAGTTTGCTGCATAGCGACAGTCGATGTTCAGGGCGTATGATGCAGGTTCTTCTGACTGAAAAAAAGTACATATCTATGTGGCGCCGTTTTAATATTTATTCCCTATTTTCTTATATTAATAATTCATTTATTGATATCACAAATCCGATTTTAGATATCAATGAATGGTTTTATTGATATTATAGATTGTATTTTAGATGCCAATATAACCTATGTAGATATTACAAAATCATTTATATTTTTTTCTCTAAAATTCACAACAGTTTTATCAAATAAAAAATCGAATAATTATTGATATCTCAAATTCGATTATTAGACATCTAAAAATGTATTTATCGATAACTAAATTGGATTGATATTGAAAAAAATAGTTAAAACGTTTGGATGTCACAAATCATTTTTATGATTTCCAAGTTTCGTATTTTATATATTCACAATTCTCTTATGTTATCAATAATTATTCCAGAATATAAATTAGAAGTTGTCATATCAAACATCAACTTTGTGATATCAATAAATGAATAATTGATATCGTAGAATCAGGAATAAATAGTAGAACGGCGCCTCGTACATTTCGTTTCATCACGGTTAAAAGTATATGTAAATACGTATGTTGCATTTTGGATTGTATAAAAATACATGTGTGCCTATAGATAAAAAATCAATGTTAATTGGTGAAATGCTTCAATAATATTAAAATATTAAATCTTCCACTTGAGTGTAATAACACTTCTACTTTCAAATCTCTTTGCCACAATGGTTTTCAGTAAGAGGCGACTAACGGGATGATGGATGCATGTGATCGTATAACAGTTGCCTAGATCGATATGGTCTTGACGTCAATCATAGGATTTTCCGTTCCAGGCTCGATTCTTTATAGACCGCTTGGGAAACGCCACACGCAATGTATTCAATGTATTTCCCGGGTCAATGGGTCAATGTGCGCTCGATTTTCATTCTCAGCTCCATGTGGAGTATACAAACCAAGCTGCAATGTGAGCCTAGCGATTACCACCCATATTACCCTCTTATCCTATTTACTGCTTGGTGAAGAGAATAATCTGACAAACTTGATATTCTCATAAGTGGCATATACAGCTGAAATTACCAAATCACAAACATAACTAGGAGACATTTTCACGCCATCTCACAACGAGGAAACATTAGACACGCAGATGAGGTCAGGTGAAATGGGGTTTAGCGTAGCGTCCAAGATTACTGCACTGATATAGCTACGTACAGGTGTGTGTGTGTGTGTGTGTGTGTGTGTGTGTGTGTGTTGTACTAGTCCGGACTAATGCCGGTTTAAAAGTGCTAGCCCACTGAGATACCATGCCGCAGTTTAACATGAATACCCCACTCAAACACAGTGTACTGACTCCCAGCCGATAAGTCCTTGTTCTAAACCCTTAATGCCGACAATAAAGTACCATTACGTCCTTTGGTATGACGCGGCCGGGGATCGAACCGCGGACCTTTCGCTCTCCGGGCGGACGCTCTACCACTTGACCAAGGAGGCGGGTCCTAAACACGGGCGTCGCTTATAGTACCCTTGTTGGGAATCGATCCATGCGTTGAGATGTGAGATTGTTTTCGATTAACCTTAGCAAATAGTTAATTGCCACGTGCAAACGTTCACGTTATAATTAGTCAAGCTGGTATTGGAGTAAATGCAAAATGGTCCTGGTCAGAAAAAAAAAGACTTAGAAAAATATAGGAAATACTTGGCGGCAATTGGACGAACAATTTATTGCGGCATCATACAATGTTTGACAGGCCAGAGACGGGAACTCTATATATAAACCATATGACTTCAAGGGGAAAATGTCCCAGTCTTAATGTGGTCAATAAATGTTTCGTTCAGGTTTGTAAAATATCGCATCTTGCTTTGAGATTTGCTTGTAAGGCTGGTTGGTTGGTTAATATGTTGTTTAACGCCGCACCCAGTAATATTCCAGCTATATGACGGCGGTCTGTAAATAAACGAGTCTGGACCAGACCATCCAGTGATTGACATCATGAGCATCGATCTACGTAATTGGGATACGATGACATGCATCAACCAAGTCAGCGAACCTGACCACCCGATCCCGTTAGCCGCCTCTTACGACAAGCATGAGTTGCTGAAGACCTATTCTACCCCGGATCTTCACGGGTCGATTTGCTTATAAGAGAACGTCACATCGCGAAATACATATTTTACTGTAAACAATACGGACATTACATCTTCCACGTATTTGATATACACATACGCATCGATTCGCAAGCTTCCACAATCGAATGTTTACAAGAGCATTCGTCACCACTCGCACCTTTCCGTGACCTGCATTCGGTAAGTCCCGGAATGACACGAGTTGGCCATGAATGGAAGATAATGATGACATAGATAGATATATATGTGCGTCACAGCGTCCGGGTTTGTTGTCCATTCATAAAAAAAGGGGCAATAAAACTAAATCACGTCTATAATCAGATATATAAGATATACTACATGATGTAGTGTCCAACCGATATTGAGTGACCCTGGGTCGATATGTACCCTGACCTGCGACATAAACACTACAGCAACCCGTTAGACAACGCTCAACATCCGCCTATCGCAGATTGTTTTTCTCACAATAGATCAATTATTTCCGAGAATGGCTACAGGTTATATATGTAGGAGTGGTTGTATTAACACAAACAGCATGTGTTGTTTTACGAGCGATTACCTTTCACGCAGCTCACACTTTACTTCCGCGTTGTGCCCGATCGAGCTTCCTCAGTCAGTGCACACTAGAGCGGGTCACCTCAGTAGGTTTATATATACAAGCCGCGGAACTGTACGTCTAAACAAAGTAAGAGAATCTTAACTGTATTCTTGGAGTCACTGCACACTATATATCTATGACACGTACACACTTGCCCTTTGCTCACGCCGGACCTACACTTATGATTTCCTTATAAGGCAGTCGGGTGGTCGGAGTCATATATGTTTACTTTCCGAACACGTGGAGCCTCGATCCATACCAACCTGCACATGTCGTGTCATAATATTTTATCCGGTTGGTGTTATTTTTATTAATTTATATCACTTTGAGTTATAATTTAACAAAACTGATATAGTGTTTGGTCAGCAACATATGTGAGGGTTTAATTCACCCGGATATGGGCGGTGGGGTAGCCTTATTGTTAAAGCGTTTGCTCGTCATATAGAAGGCCCGGGTGTTTTTCCTACATGGGAACAATGTGTAAGCCAATATCTGGCTCTGATATTGCTGGAATAGTGCGAACAGCGGCTTGAAACCGTACTCAATCACTCCATCGACCATAACTGGAATTAGTTGAAAGATGACGACGGTCTGTGAATAATCGTGTCTGGACCAGACAATCCAGCGATTGACATCATGAGCATCGATCCACGCAATAGGGATACGATGACATGCATCAACCAAGTCAGCGAGCCTGACCACTCTATCCCGTCAGTCGCCTTTTACGGCAAGCATGGGTTGCTGAAGACCTATTCTACCCCGGATCTTCACGGTGAGGTGAGGTGAAATGGGGTTTAACGTCGCGTCGAAGATTATTGCACTTATATGGCGACGTGCATGCACGTGTATGTGTTTGTGTGTGGCTGCTTGTACTAGTCCGGACTGATGCCGATTAATAGTGCTAGACCACTGAGATACCATGCCGCAGTTAAACATGAATACCCCACTCAGACACAGTATACTGACTCCGAGCCGACCAGTCCTTGTTTTAGCCCCTTAATGCCGAGCGCCAGACATGGTAACAACAAATATCACCTTTTAACGTCTATTACTATGACGGGCTGGGAATCGAACCCTTGACCTTCCGCTCTCCGGGCGGATGCTCAACCACTAGACCACGGAGGCGGTCGACAAGCAAATGACACATGAGAGAGGGAGTGTTATACTAAAAATCAAATAATTAAATTAGTTTGAACTAAACTACTGGATACATCGGTCATACCATATTAGCAAAACACTTTCTGTAATGGTTAAATGCTCTGTAATAACGACCAATTTGGTTGTGATTTTGATGTCAGCCGGTTCAGACTAATTGATTGATACCATAGTGAAATGGATTTAATTCAGCTTATATTCATTAATTAAGTTCTGAATTGTGCATGTCTGTGGACATGTGTTCCACGTGGCTGCCAATGATGTAGGACAATGGATTTCTCCGGACATATGGTGCAGCAGTAATTAAAATGTATGGCATATGTATGTAATGGTTATCGTTCAATAACCACCAATAATTAACCATCAAATAGCTAATTCATTTCCACTGATTTACCCACATGAACTAGAAATAAAGGAGACCAGTGAGACCGCCTCATCTGTTTCATATTTAGATCTATGCATAAAGATTCATTCAGAGTGGCAAAACACTCTCTACGTGACGGTATGTGTATGACGTCTTCAACGTTCCAATTGTCAACTTCCCTTTGTGTCGAACATCCGTCCAGGCCAGCCACACACACACACACACACAAACACATATAATATCTAAATATTAATAATTGAACAAATTGAACGATATCATGTTTTTCATAACCACCATGCAGCCACCTCATACACCCCACCCGACCACACCCACCCTCCTAACTCTCATTAGTTTAGAGGTATAGATGCTTGATAAGCAGCAGATTAACATTGACGACAACGGGTAATAGATGACAAGTAGCATACACATACACTTGTTATCTATTACCTGTTGTCAGTTATAATCTGACATCCGGTTTTCCAAGAACGCATATAATGGTTTATTCAGGGTGTGCATCGATCCGTTATATTGTTGGGGGGGGGGGCATTGCGTGAGCCGGAATGAATAGGAAGTTCGTTCAGTCAGATCCTCTCGGGGAAATAGATGGCTGGAGCCTAAATCTTAACAGGTAAGTCACAAGTCATTGTTAGATTGTAGGAACGGCGAGGAATGACCCCTTTGAATATTTCTTTGTAGTTAAGGGCAGGTTAGCGGTATATCCTCCATTCAAACGTGTGGTAAGTGGGTGGAAAATCACGACCAGTTTCATGTTTAATATAACCCAGATCTCATGGCGAAAAGGGAAACGTGTGATTGTGTGTGTGAGAGAGTGTGTGTGTGTGCGTGTGATCGTGTGTGTGAGAGAGAGTGAGTGTGTGTGTGTGAGAGAGAGATTGTGTGTGTGTGTGTGTGTGTGTGAAAGAGTGTGTGTGTTTGCGTGTGTGGGAGAGAGTGTGTTTGTGCGTGATTGTGTGTGTGAGAGAGTGAGTGTGTGTGTGCGTTTGTGAGAGATTGTGTGTGAGAGAGAGATTGTGTGATTGTGTGTGTGTAAGAGAGAGAGAGTGTGTGTGTGTGAGAGAGAGATTGTGTGTGTGCGTGTGATTGTGTGTGTGAGAGTGTGTGTGTGTGTGCGTGTGATCGTGTGTGTGAGAGAGAGTGTGTGTGCGTGTGATTGTGTGTATGAGAGAGTGTGTGTGTGTGAGAGAGAGATTGTGTGTGAGAGAGAGTGTGTGTGAGAGAGAGAGAGTGTGTGTGTGTGAGAGAGAGAGAGTATGTGTGCGTGTGAGAGAGAGAGAGTGTGTGTGAGAGAGAGAGAGTGTGTGTGTGGGTGAGAGAGAGAGAGAGAGTGTGTGTGTGCATGTGTGTGCAATCGGGATACTATGAAAGGAAACAATAACAAAGGCAACAGCTAGTCTCGGAGAATTGTCAGAGATCAGTGCCCCTTTGTGCGTACGAAGCCACCGAGATGTCAGTAATTTCACAATTCAAGTATTTATAGGTGTCATATTTACGTCAGTGTTAATTTGATTCAAAGCCAGTGAGACCATTTTATTACTGCTCGAAAGGCATGTTTTCACATTTATATAGTTCTCAGACAATTAATATCCTGATATCTTCCCTAACCACCATTTATTAAACCAAAATCGTATTCATAACTGTAAATATAAAGGTAATATGATTTGGGGATACGCTTATAGAGAATCTATGGATACAACTTGGTTTAAGTAGCTATTGTTTTACAAATGATGTTTTCCTGGTGTAGACTTGTTTGCTATATATATACTGTTGATAAGAGTTGCACCCGACTTGCCTAAAATCCCACTCGCCTAAAAAAATCTGACCCGACTCGCCTAAAAAATATATTTAACATTTAGGTACATTATGTGTATAAAATGCATTACTATGTATTTCTGATAGTTACATACTTATTCTAAAATACAAAAACCCACCGTAGTTCGCCCAAAGAAAATTTAAGCGAGTCGGGTCAAAGTCTTTTTAGGCGAGTCGGATTTTAGGCGAGTCGGGTGTATCCCGTTGATAACACAGGCTGGGCATGGCATGTTCATGTGGTTTTTTTTTATGAAATCACGCATTTTCTGAAGTCAGTATGGCAAATTAAACCATTTTAACACTTACAGGAGTCTTTTATCTGTTGAAAACCGATTTTTTTCAGATTTGGTAAAAACATAACTTTGCATTAAATCTTATTCAATGTCACAGGAACTTTTGTTGTTCAGTATATATAGCCCAAGACTTGGGGTATAACTTGAGAATCTCGATCACCCCGGTGTCTTTCAATTTGATATCAAATATTTCAACACGATTGCGAGTCGATAAAAGTCAAGGACCCTGAGGCTTGCTGGGTGTTGATACATACTCACCGACAAAAGAAACGCGAATACCATATATGTTGGTTAATGGCTGAACAATTATTCAGATTCAAGAGATATTAAATTGGTTCGATGCCCAAACAAACATACTGCATGGTACTATGTTGTGTGAACCGACTCCCATGAATGCATCAAATGTGACGTCATAGATCCATGACTCAAGATGCACCACTTGTCTTGCGGAGGATTAGCGTGTATAGTTTTGAAATCACGTGCAGCAAATCGCGATAAGAATACATAGAGAGACTCTGTGGTAACACTTGACTGATTGTTAGTTTGTCATTAATTGCTACACATTGGAAACATTTCTTCTCAATGTACACAATTCTCTGTGTTGATATAGTTCGCGTTTCTTTTGGCGTTGAGTATATTGGGTGTATAAAGACCACCCGTGAAGATCCAGGTTAGGATATATCTTCCGCAAGCCATGCTTGTTGAAAGAGGCGACTAACAGGATCGGGTGTACAGGCTCGCTGACTACGTTGATGCATGTCATCGTACGGTACCCCAATGACTGTGTGATCAAGACTTGAATGATTACAGACCGCCTCATATAGCTGGAATATTGCCAAGTGCGGCGTTACCCAACAAAGAAAGACAGAGAGATATCAAAAGACACCTGGGTGAGTTTCTATATATCAACCCAAATCCTAATTAATTTAAGCTACCCCCCCCCCCCCCCCCCCCCTTTCTCTCTCTCTCTCAGACATGAGACAGCAGTGAAACAACGCCCTAATCAAATGACGATATCTGCAGTGAGTTTAAGTACATGCTGATAAACAGAAACGGGATATTAAAGTATGTACATTTGAAAGGAGAGCATGACGTTATGCCACTTTTATCAACATGTTGATATATTTTATATCAAAGGACACGAGGGTGAGATTTTATTTATCATCCAATATCATTCTTAAATCGAAATACGCGAAAAAAATCAGTAATTTATAAAAACAATATCTACCATGTAGATATCGCTTGATTTCACCGAAACCTTATCTCTTGTTGGAACCAGTTTTGGATGATAAATGTTCTTTTTTACATTCCTTCTATCATTCTAGCTGACAGTAAATTGTCTGCTCTATAGACCTCATTACAATCTACATGTATGATGTAAAGTATATTATAAGAAGCATTAATATAGGCCTTTTTGGCCTGTTTGCTAATCCTTTTTTCCATTTTGTAACGCTATGTAGTGTAAAATCTGAACATTAATGGAAATAAAATACTGTTTAAATCAAATTGACGCATATTCTGACGCGTAGCATCCAAGGGGGGTAACTCTAATCCGGGCAAGTTCACCGAGAAGTGATAAACAAGCTGTTGACAGCGGGGCGACAGAACTTGCGGTTGTGCCCGAGGGAAGCATGTAACTTATGCTCCGAGGCGGGGATGGTGACAGTAAGTGATTAACAATACATTATGTTATACAGAAGCATGCTATAACCACTCAGTAACACCATGTACACATGATCCCTATCAATACATTTCAGTTATTTTTCAACCGATGACCGTTTGATCGTACATTGTGTATCTCTTCTACATCTACATCGTCATGGATGACGGCGATCAGCGGGTGATGTTGGAATTGAAATGAAAAGTTATTACTTTAAGTGTCTCATTCTAGCCCTACAGGTAGATCTAGCCGGTACAGGGTGTCTTTTGCAGCGTCATTTGTCTTATTGATAAGTCGAGGAAGAAAAATATAGCCAGATAAGTTAACTCCGGCTCTTCCGTGTGATACCACTAAATAAGGACCCATTTATTATAAGTAGATTCGTCGAATTTCTTAACGGTTAGTTTAATCAAACTTCCGCCTTTATCCCCTCTCAAGGATTGAGCGCCAGTGCATCATATAGGCTATAACTTTTGGAGGGGGGAAGCGGGGAGATGTCGCCCCACTTGTAATGTTACCCTATTCTCTGCATTAAATTTGACAAGGCCGTTTGACTTTCAAACCGTATTTTAGACACCAGTTCATGACTAACCTACATATAAAAATTAAAAAACTATAATATGTTATAAATTTACAGGGGGCTATTATAAGAATATTATTTTGGTGAAAAAACCAGAGTTGAAACATAAACTTCATGGTTTATGCTGACAGCCTGAAATGTTTATGTATGACAGAAATATAGTGTTTTTTCAAGAATTTAATTGCCCATAATTAAGGGTGCATAGAACACACGGGTGCGTTCTGTACGCGAATAAATAAGTCTTGTGTACATCGGTCAATCGGAAGGGGTGCTTATTGGGATTGTTCACTGGCCAATATGTTTGCAAATGTCGCCGTGGGCGCTTATTAGAGCGGGGCGCTTATTACATCGAATACGGTATGTCTTCCAAAACAATTTTGTATTAATAATATGGAAACACAAGAGGGTAATAAACTCTTGATGATATTACTTTTTTGAGCTGTGTATAGAGTGTTTGGGTGGGTTTGTTTTACTGTGCTACTTGTCTACCTCGATACTCAGTGAAAACATATAGAGTGATGTGCATGACATCAATCACTGGATTGTCTGGCCCAGACTCAATTCTTTATAGACTGCCATTATATAGCTGGAATATTGCTGAGTTTGGCGTTAAACAACAAACAAACAAACAAACAAACACTAATATACAAACAGCCTCAACAGACCAAATACACAATGAACTATTCAAACACTGTATTGCATTAATAAGTTCATGTTGTTATGGCCCATAGTTGAAAGTTAGAACCTTTTGTTCTCGGAGTTAAGTAAGTTAAATATATCTTTATGAATATTCAGAAGGCTCCCGATACAACAGCAGCTGATATATTATTACCATAGCCAGCAGCACAGATTCATGTGTGGGTCAGCGGCTTGTAATTAACACTAGAGAATAGCTGGTTGGCCACTGAAGCTTAACTTTGTGGTGCTGGATACTGCATACCGAGGGGTATCCTATTCGATACCTGGCATCTTGTCAGTGATTTGACTGGAAGACTTTGGGTAAGTGGAGTGAACCAACAGACAGCGGCTAGGCAGGTTGGCTCTCTGACGCCTCCGAGATGCTGCCTGGCCATGTCTGTCCTGTTATTATTATCATGATTATTTTGCTGCTGTAATCGTTATATCACAAATATTTCAGTGTTGTGGGCCTGCTGATGGACTCCTGTGTTTGAAGATACAGATATCCCAAACAATTCAGCCCGGGGTGTTTGCATATCAAACTGATAAATGCAGGGGTTAAAAATGAAAAATGGAATAGAAAAACGAGTTGACTGTAAACACCTAGAGTCGGGGGAAACACCAGAAAGTATTCCGCCAAAAGTTCACACTATCAATTTCACAACAAAAAATTCACATCGTGTGAACTTTTCTATTTGTTCAGAGGTGTGTGAACTGCAAATATCACATCAGGTGACTACCCATTCTTCCAATCAGCATAAAAGAAACTGTTTATTCTTTAAAGTATGAAATTATTATATGATAAAAACAAAAAGGTGATATCATTACATATCAAACTGTGAAGAGAATGTCCTCCATTTTTTAGGTCTATAAATTCATGCAACAAGTAGCGTTAGACATTGGCACTAGTCCTATAGTCCTTGCCACACTGCCCAATAGTTAAGGTATTAGCAGGACTAGTTTGTTTGTTTGTTGTTTAACGCTACACTCAGCAATATTCTAGTTATTTGATGGCTGTCTGTAAATAATCGGGTCTGGACCAGACAATCCAGTGATTGACATCATGCACATCGATCCAAGCAATTGGAATCGATGACATTCATCACCAAGTCAGTGAGCCTGACCACCCGATCCCGTTTGTCACCTCTTACGACAAACATTGTCGCCTTTTACAGCTAGCATATGTTGAGCACTGAAGACCTATTCTATCCCGGATCTTCACAGGTCTTATCGGACCAGTAGAAATTTGCCCTTTATAAGGGTTTTGCTGTATGTTATCATTATCAGGACTAGTGGACTAAAGCTGAACGAGGATCCAGTGTACCTTCTGGTTAGGTGTATAGCCCATTGTACAATGCAATAATACAAGACATCGGTTGTGTACCTGTATTTCAGTGTAGGTCTTTCAGTACTTTGTTATTTACTCATCCAGTGAAGTCCTCAAATACAGGAACTTTACTGAAGTAAATGATATACAAAAGCATGGTTTCCTGATGAGGACAAGTAGACGTTGTACACATTAAAGGGCAAGTAAAGGGGAAAAAATGATCCATTTTGTCATTTCTGAGAGAAAACAATTCATAATATTGGAAGCAAGTATTTAAATGTCCCAATGAAAGTGATGACATCATGCTCCATAATCGGCTTCCAAAAGGGGGGCATGGCCTGAAGCTACCAGCACAGCTGTTTTCATTGGCAATAATTTACGATCTATATTTGTACACGCAAATGATTCCTCCTAAAGTGAAAAATGAACAGAAATTCTAAATATACTACTCAAAAGAAGTTAAGGATCATCCGATTCTTTCATATTGGTAATGTTAATCTGTCATAGCATGAGAGATTAACTATTGTAATATGGGTGATCCTTAACTTCTTTTGAGTAGTATATTTATGTGGGTTCTCCAGCAGACAATAAACAGAAATACCAATGTAATTTTTAAAAATGTTATTGTAATATTTTTTTAATATTCGCAGTGGAATAAATAATGTTCGTTTACCGGTAATTACCAGTTTTTACTGGTTAAATTAGGCTTGGACCGGTAATTCATGTGACTGCTAGTCCCTGTGGACCGGCAAATAAAGTTCCTTATAAATCTTTGTTGTTGACCAAAACATCGACAGTCAGCTTGTCTGTTACCATCAGGGTTTTCCCTTGTCTATTTTTATCATTTCACTTTGCTACAAGGTTAAGTATATATTAGTTTAAAAAAAAATTCAAAGAAAGAGAGAAACTTGTGAATGAACTTTGTGTGAATGACGTGTAGATCTACCTAAGTTACTTTGGAGATTACGTCATCGCAATGAGCAAATGTTGAAAGAATAAAAAACAGGTAATTTTCATAAGTTTTTGTATTTGATGAAATTTGGGACTGACAAAAATTAGTGAGGACTGGTAATTATTAGAGTTGCCAGTCAACCGGGACTGGCAGTTTCAAACGCCAGCGGGAACACTGCAGGCAGACTGCTATCAACACAGATGCTTCAGCTTATGTTGTAGTAATTCAACATGGAGAGTGGAGACTCAGGGTAAGACATGGTCCCCAGCAACCTGTTTGTTTGTTTGTTTGTTGTTTAACGCCACACAGTAATATTTTCAGCTATTTGACGGCAGTCTGTAAATAATCAAATCTGGACCAGACAATCCAGTGATTGATATGAGCATCAATTCACGCTATTGGACATGCGCCTGACCACCCGATCCCGGCAGTCGCCACTTACGACAAGCATAGTTGCCTCTTTCCGGCAAGCATGGGTTGCTGAACACCTATTGTACCCCGAATCTTCACGGGTCTCCCCCAGAGATCACATCAGGTGATCAGGTACGGTGGCTCGGCTGATGAATGTCATCATACGTCACCGGCTTGGATCGTTGTGCATAATATCCATCGCAGGATAGTCTGAATCAGAATCAATTATTTACAGGCTGCCATCATGTAGCTTGAATATTTCTTAGTACACCGTTAAATAACAAACCCACATATGTTACCAGGAGCAAGTCAATCAATTTAAACAACAGCTTCTATCTAACAGCAGATCCACTTTGCAAGGGGACCTGTGCCAGTATGACATTAAGCAGCACGCTACTTCTGAATTCCATAATGCATGTTTTTTTAGGCAATCTGCTGCTATGCAGCATGGTGTGTTATATATTACATTGACTGCCATTCAAGGCTGTTTCTTGACAAATGCAATTATACCTGGTGATTGCCAAAATATATTTCCTTTCATATGTTATTACAACAGATGCACAGCTTAAAGGGGCACTGATCTAAAGCAATTCCCCGGGACTGGCTGTTGCCTTTGTTTTTGTTTTTTTCCTGTGAGTACCCGGATGATACAGTAGAAATCTAGACTAGTTCGCTACCTGTGCTGCGCAATTCGTAAACGCATTTGTCACTTTTATTGATAGTATAACGGCGTATGGTCACATTGATCAATAAAATGAAATACAGTTTTGGAAATAATAAGGAATGTAGGTATCTTTGTGGGTAGCATCGGTAATGGTGACGAAGTTTTGATAAGTCACTTGCTTGGTAATTGTGCGATTTACGTTTACGCTATTTTGACTTGCAACACACACAAAATATTTCTCCTAAGTATTGCTTATTTTATTGTGTTTATATTTTTACAGTCAAAATGTGCAAAATTTTCACTTAGGAAATTCATTAAACGCTTAAATATTCTGTTATTTTACAAATTGACTGAAAAATATGTCCAGCTGTATTATTATAAAACGAATTCCAA